GGGGATCAAACTCATGTGGAAGTGGCTTAAGCTTCTTAGTTCAGTGCTTTAACCTGCTGCGCCACCAAGGAGGACCCTATCCTTAACCTTTTATCAATTGTTGCTCATTTAACTATGAAGTTCATAAAAAACTCCCATCTTTAGAATGGAAAAAATTCCTGAAGTATTTCCAGAAATATGAAAAGCTTGTGAAACTTACAATGCTTGAAGAAAATAAAGTTAAATGCACATGTGTTTTAATTGTGTGCTAATTATTAAAGCTTGTGAGCACCTCAGCTAAGATAAAATGTATTGTGGAAATCTCTTTACTCTCTGGAAGATTTCTTTTTTGAAGCTATTTTAAAGCGTATAATTCCAGTTACATGGTAGGAAATTAATGTTGAGGTTTGATTTTCTGTTATAAAATTTAACCAAAAGTAAAGCTCTCTGTAGACTACATATTTATATCTGCACATTTCCCAAGTATGTCAACATACAAATAACTACACTTAAAACCATATGCCAAAATGATGTTATGCTTCAAGGAATATTTATAAAAATAACTTTTTTTAGTCATAGGAGCTAGTATTGAACCAGTACTCATAATTAATCCTTAGACTGAATATTCATCACGCGAGCGACGCTCAATGTGTATAGTGGTAGCACCATGTTTTCACATAGTTTTATGTATAAGAAGAAAGTAAAATACAGTCTTATCTTCTGAAGTGCCTGCGGGCTCAGAGGACAGTATTTTTAACAGGCTGAGGGCCCTACACTCACATATTAAGGGAAACACAGGTGTAGTGAATGGCACAATTGTTAGACCTTTTTTTTTTTTAAAGGTTTTATTTATTCATACAGAACTGGGGTACAGACCAGAGATGCGGAGGGTGAGAGGCTTCACTAGGGACAGAGTGGGGAGCAGAACAGGCAGATCGAGGAAGTACACTGCTGAGGGGAGCAGTGGGCAGTCAGGAGAGCTCTGCCATGCCATGTGGTCACCTCCTGGGCAGGCGGGAATCAAACTCACACGAAAGTGGCTTAAGCTTCTTAGTTCAGTACTTTAACCCGCTGCGCCACCAGGGAGGCCCTGTTAGACCTTTTTGTAAAACAACACTATGCCTACTATATGCATCGTTTTTGGTTCTATAATAAAATTTACTCTAACCAGACTTTCCATGGAAAAAGTTCTAGTATAAATGTCTTTCATCATTAACGTTAGTGAAATGAAAGCTCTCTATATAGAACAGTGCTATCCAGTATGGTACCCACAAGCCACAGAAATTGAGCACGTGAAATGTGCCTTATTGAATTTGTGATGTACCGAGAACTTAAAACACATTCCAGGTTTTGAAGACCTAGTCATAAAGAAAGAATGTAAATTATTAGTATTTTATATTGGTTGCATTTTTAAATTTTGAGAATATAGTTCTAAGTCTGACATCTTTTTTAAAATATTAACCACTTAGAAAAGTTTAAATTGTGCATATGAGTAGTACAACAGTTCTCTTGGACAACGCTGTTCTGTGCCAGCCTCTTTACCCTACTTTACAATAGAACAGTAAATACCTTTAAAACATTTTTTTGAGTTTTGGCAGAATAGCTCCTTCCTTCATTTGTAAAGTGACAGGAAATGTGAACAGCTTCTGGAAGATAATTTTCTATCACTGCCAAGATATAAATGCTTTTTCATTTCACTTTTTTGTCCCTCTGACTTAAAATATTTCCTTAGGGGAAGGTTTTTGGGTTTGTTTTTTTTCCCCTTGGAATAAAAAAATCAATGTGTGTGTGTGTGTGTGTGCTGTAAAATGGGACCTCTCTTTATGTGCCTAACCTCTTGTTCCTACATTGGCTTAAAAGTTGATGACCCTGTTGAGTTGGTTCACATCTGTGAACTAAGTCATGATGGCATTTTGTGTTTTCCCTTTTTGTAAAAGAGGGAATTTAATGAACCACTCAGATAACATCTATAGTCGACAGAACAGTGATGAATATTAATAGGATTCAGTTCTAGGTTTTCTAAAATATTAATTCTCTTTGTGAAACTCATTCGAGCTCATACGAATACATAATCTACTGTTTAAAAGCTTCTTTCTGCCAAAGATTTAATCTTTAATCTGCCACAGATTAAAAAAGAATGTGAGTACTCTGGGAATATCTTCCTTCCCCTGTGCAAACTTTTAAACCATTTTTTTTTGCTAGTCTCTTAGCAAAATGGTTTTTGGGGAAAATCTGTGTTTTTACCATTAAAATAATTGATGGTAACGATGCTTGTTAAGTGGAAGGATTTTTTCTCTTTTTGTAAAGATTATTTTTGGATTCCTGCCTTGAAATAAGAGAGTTAGAGTGAATTATAACCCTTGAAAGCCTCCTTTTTTGTAGCCACTTTGCATATTACTCGATCTCATTATTTGGCTTTCTAGTGAATTACCACACCTGTGAGCCTGAGAATGCTTGGAATAACTTGTCCAAGATAAAGACAAAAACTTCTTGCACTAATTTAATTGACTTAGTTCATTGATATTATCCCATCTGTTAAGAGCTCTCTTTTATTTCTTACCTGTCAATCCAGTTCATGTCACGCTATTCAGATCACTTTGTTGAAATTCAGATTCTGACATCCCACAAATAAGCTCAAAAAATGTCTCTGAGATCAAAATTGGGGCAAAGAGCGCAGCAGTTTGGCAATGGCTCTGGTAAACTGACTAGACTTGTCCTTTGCTCTACCTGCCTAGTGGTAAGTGACTCAAACTGCTTGGGCTCTCCCTGGTGGCGCAGAAGATTAAAACACAGCACCGAGAAGCTAAAGCCACTTCAGCATGAGTTCGATCCCTACCCCTGAGGTGATCCACATGGCCCCGCAGACCTCTCCTGACCTGGCCGTTGCTCCCCTTCATCAGTTGGCCTGTTCTGCTACCCACTCTGTCTCTGGTGAATCCTCTCACCACCCCTGCACCTCTGGCCTGTACTCCAGTTCTGTATGCATAAATAAATACATCTTTAAAACAAACTGCT